TGTTAGATGTGACAGTGAGTTATGAATATTTTAGGTGTAACAGTGTGGCGTGAATGTTTTAGCTTTGAGAGTGAGATGTGAATGGGTTAGGTGTAACAGTGAAGTAAGAGAAAAAAGTAAGTTCCTTATGGAAATCTTACCATCCAAAAATACCACCAAAGTTTCTCCAGGCTTCAGGTATTTTTGTATAAGAGAAACAACTATTCGTTCCAAAGCGTAACTCCTTTTTTTCACTGAAGATTCATGAAGCACTCCATGATCACTGAAGATCTTTTCTCTCAGGTTTGAGTATCCCGTCCTAAAACCAAAACCACGCAAAAATATTAAATGAATATACTTAAAACACAACAGTCTCTGATTTGTAAATGACAAGTAATTAGACACAGAGAATGGCAGACATCACGGGATGGCTAGGGTGTCTGCATCCGGAGTGGAAGGAGTGGGTGTAGCCCTCTTCTGGGACATACCAGTCCTTTATAAATAGTACCTGCTGTCTCCTCACTTGACACTCAGCACGCAGGGGTTGAAGCAGGGTTCCTGATCAGGCAAAGAAACATATTGTAAGCATGCTAACATTCAGCACCTCATACGGCAGTGGGATAGAATCCTCCCTAGGGAGAAGACATCCTCAACAGATAGTAATGACCAGGCATGATACTGTTATATGTGTACCACTACCTACTATAAAGACTACAGCATTTGAACAGATTTGGGATTTAGACTTTAAACAATAAATATGTTTATTTGAGTTTTTCTTTGATAATAATAATAATAATAATTATCGACTGCGCATAATCCCAAGACGTTCTTCATCAAACTTCATCACGCAAACAAAGGCTAGGCCTTTCAAAATCGACAGTGAGACTGTGAACACGTCATTAGAGAATTCCTCAACATCAACCAATCACGATTATTACTTATGAAAGTAAAAACGAGGTTAGCAGTTAGGGGAATTCCCTGAACTTCCCCGTAAATATTGGCATGTCAATCGGACTTTTACTGTGTCTAAATTTTGCCAATACACTTAATATAGAAAGTTGACATAAATATACTCGCCAAAATGGCGACTTGCACCATAAATTTCACAAGCCAGATTTAATTTTTACTCGCATTTGGCGTGTGTCAAACCCTGAATAATGATGCCCAAATTAGGTTATTTGGTCATTTTTGAAGTATTTTACATGTAAAACGGCATCATCACCGCAAATTTGTCATTATGTACTACTAGCACAGAGCTTTAAAAAAACTGCATAAGAATAAGAAAAAAATTCAATATGGTTGGTATTTGAAGGTGAGTGCGTTTTCGCCTTTTGAATTATTGAAAGTTTGAGAGTAACATTTGTACTATAACGCATATCTGTGCATTTCTAAGTGGCTGCCTGTTTATTAACTGTTATACATACTAGTATATACATAAGCTACACCAAAGGTGGGTACCTTTCCTCCTCCAGGTTTTCATCATCTGTTTCTGACTCATCTTCGTCTGTATCCAACTCTTCTCCTTCTAAATCCACCTCTGGTCCGTCTGTTTTGACATTTTCCTCCAAGAAAGTATCTACAGATTTTATGAAATCACTGTCATCCCAGCCATTACATTTGGCAATCTTTTTGACATAATATCTTCTCACATCCTCTGATAATGTCCACACATGGTCACTGATGTCCTCCAGGTAAACCTCTGTCACTGGGTGCTGATGGACACCAACAAATATGGGAGCAGAATCCCAGGAACACAAGTCTTGGAAATATCTGTAAGGACAGAAAAAAATCACATTTCATCGGGGTCATCTGGTCTGTAGATTCATAAGGGTTGAGCTGTTTCAGCTCACAACACAAGGTACCTGTACCTAAATAGTAGTTGGAATAAGACCTGCTGTAAAACAGTCACCTGTTGCAACATTGGATTATATGTATCTGACTTTTCACAATTATTCTGGGTACCAGCAATGGGTTATCATTTTTGAAAGTATGGCAAAATATTCCTTTGCGTTGGATTACAATGGGGGTTCTTTCATGTGAAAGGGGATGTGTTAGTCTTATTATAACAAACAATTTTGTGTTTCCAAACATTGCTGTGCATTTCAAACTTTGTAATTCTTTGCCAAAAATGACACTAAAACAGCACTTAAATCTGGGACACAGACATACCAGTCTGTTTTGCATCTGTACTGTATGGAAAAGAAAACTTTCAGAATAGTATTGTCATGATTTTTGGTCATCTCAGGGATCATTTATGGGACACAAACTACAGAAGAAAAACACAATTGAATATTGTTGCACATTTTGTTGTGCATAACCATTGTTTCAGTTTTTAACTTCAGTACTTCAGTATTATCTCCTATAAATGTAAGCTATACAAATCATTCAATTTCGGGATTTAAATACCTGAAATACACTCTGCTTTTCATAAAACAACGATGTGTAATAAATCATGTAATCACAGTTGTTATGTTTCGTTTCCTTCAGACTCACATGACAGTGAAACCACAGTTAGCTTGTAGTAATGTTTCCAGATTTAGATTTAGCCCAGGGACTTAAAGCGTAAATAGTGGAGATTTTCATTGATGACATAATGATTCGGTCACATGAATATTAAATGATGACTAATTAAATTAGCTTTATCTGGTACCCACTTTTAAGCATGAAATTTTATGTCATTGGTATTTAACCGCCGATTCAGGATCGCAGCATGCTTTCACAACTCTGTAAAGTTAAGTGTACCCATTCCTGATAATTTTTGTATGTGTTTAATCTTACAGTACATTTACCAAATGTTACGAATATAAAGCAAACTAGAGGATCAGAGAGGCGATACCGCCTCCTGGTATTGTACCACCAGCTGGAGTAAGCACATTCGAATCTGAAGGAAAAAGAAGGGGGAGGGGTTGACAAGCTGAATGAAATGCAGTAAACAAGGGTAATCATTTTTTATAGATAATTATCATATTTTTAAATCAGGTGGGAAAAAGTAAAAGGTCTAATACAAGGATGTAGTATCATTGTGAATGTAGGACTTCCTCTCTAACTGTAATGGAAACAATATTTCAAAGTTTGTTTATATTTGGGTTAAGCCGTGCTGCCTTTTATTCTGTAGTTAACATTGGCCTACATGGGCAATATCGTATATTCTTTATTTTTGTGCTTGTTTGTATCATATATATTAATGAAAATTTAAAAATGGGTTGATGCAGCTGGTTTGACATTTAAAATAATTAGAATATCAAAACTGAGAGAGAAATTATAGTTAAGGAAATTAAATCCACCAAAAAAGTGAAAAGCTTGTTTCTGTAGTGCTGAAAAAAAAGATAAACAACAAAATATAGTTGCCATTTTTAAGATACTAAAAAAAGTTTGTGTGCGATTGAAAAATATCTACATATAAATTTTTAAAAATTTGGGGGATTTTGATATTGAAAAGGACAGTTATACAAATACTATCACATTGACGTTGAAAATTAAAAACAGTTTTTAATGGATTGAATGTAACGGGTAACTGATACTAAAACTTCATTGAGCTTTAATGAAATGCGAGAGCAAATACTTCACATGTACAGCTGACCAAATGGGTACTAATGCCAAACTTATCATGCATTAAAGCAAGTATATCTATTTATTGTGATAATTAATTTGTTACACTTCATACAAATTGAGTAAAGGTGGAGCTTGGATAACCAGAAACACATATTAATTAATTGTACTACGTAGTTTCTTGCAGGCCTCAAATCACCTCAAGAAATAAACTGAATTAATGACTCTATCACCCATTAGTTTTACATTATATTTCTTTTAATGTATATTATACTTAAAACAGATACTTTGATTTTTTTATACATAACTTAATATATCTTTTAATGTTTATTATACTTGAAATAGATGCTTCGATTAATTGATTCATAACTACTGTCAAACCATGAACTGTAGTTTGCAAATTTTCCCACCCTTATAAAATATACTGACAGAGAAATGCCCATAGTTACTATTGAACTTGACTATGAATTTGACCTTTGACCTACCTTTCACCAGGTGAAATTCTGTGTGTGGTCGGCTGACTGCAGGGAGTTAGGTCGATCAAGTAAGATCAATCTTAATCTATGGGAATGCGCTCTAAGATTGTCAGTATATCACTTCCTATTCAAGTTCAATGGTAACTATGGGTGTATCTCTGCTAGTTTTGATGATATAAGGACCAGAAAACTTGCAAAGTGAAGTTCATCATGAAAAGTAGGTCAAAGGTCAATATCAAGGTCACAGTTAGATTGCTAGTTAATGACTTCCTATTCAAATGCTATGGGTGTATCTCTGTTAATTTTGGGAGTATTTTTTCATTTTATGTTAACTACTGAATATTGCATTGTTGTACTATTTAATAAAGTGCAAAACCTAAACCGTATAGAAAATAAGAAAATGGACACCACCTCCAGTATTGTGCTTGACAAGCTGTACTTCATGCAAAAAACAAGATGTCTCTAGTGTAAACAGTTCCACAATTACAGAGTTTTTAGTTTCGGCATCAAATGACTGCTTCTCCCGTGAAAATGCACCGATTGACCCCAAACCCACGAAGATGAAGGGAGTCCCTAAATAGTAGCCCTCACTGTAATATGAAAGCTTAGGTCTGTGTAGTTTCTGAAAATTGGCACAAACAATTCTTTTTTTGCAGAAAATTCCCATTTTTAGAAAATTTTGGCCTGTTTGACCTTGAAATAAAGGTCAAATGTCAAATCCAAGGGCATATTTGGAAACTCCATATATGACTTTTGGTCAGACCTCTATAGTAACTTTTT